GACGCATCGTGTTACCTGTAAATCATTTGAATGGCATGTCATATTCCTGACAATGGTAATGGGTTGACTTCCTCTTTGTGAAAGTGAGAATTATGTTGTTTCTGAAAAATTGGGTGCGAATAACGGAAAGGTCCGTTTCCTCATTTAGAGGAAAACTTGAACCGAATGCTCTTTTAGGCTCAAGGCATACTCCACGCGATTAGTCGCGATGTGATCTTGCAATACTTCAACCGTTTATAACTCATCTAATCATCCCAATCCACAAAAGATAGGGCATTTTACCGATCTATAAAAGTCTTATATACCGCGAATTGCACTTTAAGAGCGTTGCATTTGAAGACATCCGGGAATTTGCTAGATAGTGTCGCCATTAACACGTTTCGGACCGGTGCTGCACATGAAGCAGCACGCGCCTGCAAAGAACCTTTCCGAGGTTTACAGAAGGTGCTCTTTTGTCCAAAGTTATCAAGTCAAAAGCCCAATCTTCTTCCTTCCGAAAAGGTCTGTAGAGCTGTGCTATCAAGATTTGTTCTGGAGACATGAGCACAAATTGAAAATCAGTTGCAACGGAGTGCGGCGACGCGAACGACGCGTGACGTCGCAACTTTTCTTAGCTTTAAATACAAGGAGAAAAACCGTAGTCCTAATGATGATGTGTATTGTGGACAACATAGATATTTTTGGATACAAATAGAAACTGAATTCTTGTTCCTATCTTTCAAGAAAGCACGAAAGTCCTTCTCAATCGAAAATTTAAACACATCGAATTAACTCATAACTCTGGGTATGGACCTTATTTGACATGCTGATTGCACATGTAGCACACAATCTACGAATTGAGGTCCCTTTGTTGGCCAACGGCTGACAGTACCCTCTTTTTCGCCACGCGATTTCGCTTTCCGAAACGTGTTGAAATCGCTTAAAATGCGTGGGCATCGGACCCGCATACAGGTAAAGGCTGCAGCATGACGAAGGCGCAATGGCGATATTACTTGAGCGGGCGCGAACGCGACGCGCGCGTATCCTCACCTTGTACATCCCGCACCTCATGCGCTCTGCGGCTAATAAAGCCGCGTTTGCGCCCGAAGATATTGCGCCTTCGTCATGCAGCAGCCTATATTTCCCCGCTAGGGGGAGGGAGGAAGGGGTATCCGGAGAAGGATGCTTCAGGTTTCGATGCTTAAATATATTTTTTTGTATATTTATCTTATGAAGGCTCTCGTACCCTGATACCTGAGCATAAAGGGATTGTCTATTTTCAAATTCAGTTACCTCTCCGCCAAACTCGATGCAAACGTTGTAACTTGTACTGAGGATGTGAAAGTGCTGAACACTTTCGTAGTAGAAATAAGAGAGATCTCTGGATATCGAAGTCTTCAAATGGACCATAGTTCAACGTGATCTATCGTAAACCTCACAGCTTTAACATTTCACTTCTTCTGTTAAAAACATGCCTAGCTGCGCTTGTTAGATGCTTAGTACAATGTCCGACGTTTTCATCGAGTTTCTGAGAGGTAGACGATTTCGGCAACGAGGTGTGTTAGAGATCTCGAGAATTTCAGATTGTATGACAATGACCTAGCATCTACTATGCTAAGGTATCAAGGTACGAGAACCTTCAAAAGATAGATCAAAAAGATTGAAGATATCCGAGATAAAAGGCGTTCCTTTTTAAATTCCTTCCCTTCTCCTGAGGATGATGTCGTGCATAAGAACTTTTGGAATGAACATTCGTGATAAATTATATTCTGAAGCCAGTAAATGGTGATCTAATATTGCAATTTTCATCTGCATTTGAGCATGTCAAGGCACCGCTTTGTAAATGATAGGAGGTAGCACGAGTGTACTCGTGCTCATTCATTGATTAGGAGGTTGCTGGCTCAACTTTCACAAGCAGCAATTTTGCCTTGTTCTGACACCGCGAACTCTATCCAAATATTAGGTTGAACCGAAAGTTCTGTCGCACCATTTTCAAAAAATCATAACTTCTTTCGGTCACGACGATTTTGCGCAATTCAAATTTTTTTGTGAAAGCGTAAAGCATGTAGTTTCCAAAAGCTTCCTGGGGAGTTTCCGACATGCTCAGGTGGCAGAGATAAAAAGGAAAGAACGAGATCATCCGAAATTCGGAATTTTTAAGCAAGAATTGTAGAAATCCAGAAACAGTGCGATAAAATCCAGAAAAGCCATTGTCCTAATTTTTCTTGCATTTGATTAATATCTGAGTCAAGTTTTTGCTGATTGAGGTCTTCTTTTAGAAGTTATGAATTTTTGAAAAATAATGCCGAAAATCAATTTTTTAAGAATTCTTAAGAAATCGATTTTTCGGCATTATTTTTCAAAAATTCATAACTTCTGAAAGAAGACCTCGATCAGCACAAACTTGACTCAGATATTAATCGAATGTAAGAAAAATTAGGACAATGGCTTTTCTGGATTTTATCGCACTGTTTCTGGATTTCTGCAATTCTTGCTTAAAAATTCCGAATTTCGGATGATCTCGTTCTTTCATTTTTATCTCTGCCACCTGAGCATGTCGGAAACTCCCCAGGAAGCTTTTGGAAACTACATGCTTTACGCTTTCAGAAAAAAATTTGAATTGCGCAAAATCGTCGTGACCGAAAGAAGTTATGATTTTTTGAAAATGGTGCGACAGAACTTTCGGTTCAACCTAATATTTTCGTAAGGACTGCAGCTTTGAGTTAGCGATGTTCGACAATTTTAAGTCATACACCTCATTTCGTATGGCCACTACAACTTCAAAACCATTTCTTCTCAGTGTACCTGCCTTACAAAGCAATACTTATATACAAGCTGAATGTCTTTTGTTCATTTGTTTGTGTGTGTTTCTGTACGTATGTTCCCAATAGAAAAATTTATTTGTGAACCGATGCGGACCAAGCTTGGCACACATACACTTTGGGGGGGGGGGGTCATAGGCTACTTTTCGTCACGATTGATATCGATTTTACCGTTTTTATTGATTTTTGTAAAGTTTGACCTGCGGGGCAAGGAGTTGGCACGGGAGGGGGGGGGGGGGGTAAGTGAGCATGCCGATTACGAATACAATATTAGTTTTAGAAATATCCACTACTTTCAACGGTTTTATCGATTTTTTGCAAAGTTTGAGCTACAGGGCTGGGAGTTGGTACACGGGGGGGGGGGGGAAGGTGAGCACTGATTGCTTACACAGCGAAGATAGGAAATTGGCATGTAGAGGTGAGCACAGGGAAAGGTTGTATAGCGACAAAAAAGAGACTTTTATTATAATGTTTTGACAGGGCCGGGCGGAGTCGGGTAAGCCAGCTAATCTTATATATAAAGCTGAATGTCTATCTGTATGTCTGTACGTATGTGCGGAATAGAAATTTTTATTTCTGAACCGATTTGGACCAAACTTGGCACACGTATACTTCGGGGCAGGGAGAGTGTCATAGGCTACTTTTCGTCATCGATCGATATCGATTTTATCGACTTTTATCGATTTTTTTGCATAGTTCACGTACGGGGCTGGGAGTTGGCACAGGGAGGGGGTAAGTGGGCATGGCGATTTCGAATATTATATTAGTTTTTAGGATTATCGATTACTTTTATCGATTTTATCGACTTGTTGCAAAGTTTGAGCTGCAGACTGGGAGTTGGCACATAGGGGTAATTGGGCATGGCGACTCCGGAAAAAATATCAAGTTTCAGGATTATTGATTACTTTTATCGATTTTATCGATTTTTTGCAAAGTTTGAGCTGCAGGACTGGGAGTTGGCACAGGGGTGTAAGTCGGCATGCTGATTTCGAAAACAACACAGAAGTGGGCACAGGGAAAGGCTGTACAGGGATAGGGATGAGACCTTTATTACAGTGTTTTGACAGGGCCGAGCGGAGCCGGGTAAGCAAGCTAACAGTACATAAAAACGACACCTTCAGCCGCGCCCGAGTCACGGCTTCAATCGATTGGCACGAAAACGCATGCAAATCTTGGAATAATTAAGGGAAGAGCATGTCTGCGTTTAGTACGCTGCCAGAAATTCTTCGCTAGTGTCGACTCACGTGCTATATGGCTCGGCTCGTCTTCAAACTCGTTTCCATCGTAAATTTAGAAATACTACCACTGGTTACAAAAACAGTAGAACTTACTTGTCGTCAGCCAATAAAAATTCATTTCTGAAGAGAAGAGCCAAAAATTAACGAATTGATAGGTGAACCCAGCAAATCGCCGCAAAAAGAAACCAATAAATCAATCTTTATGCTATCTGTAAGCAAGAGTTTTTACTTTAGTTTGCTTTTTACAGGTACGACATCTCCACAAATGGCGCTCTTTCTGCACATGCACCAGCTTTGTACATGAGCCAGTAGCTACTTCTCTTTATCAAATCAATTTCGTTCCTTTTTCGAAAACTCTGAGCTACGGCCCTTGAAGCTGGCAGGGAGGTAATAGGAGCTGTTTGCAAACAAAATATTATAAAATTTCTGGGTATTTTCACCGAAAACACTTACACTTTTTGCAAACCTTGATTGGGGCCTGAGGTTGGTAAAAGCGGAAAAGTATAAGCGAGCATGCTAATCACAAAAACGCTGGGATGGAAACTTACCTATAAAGAGAACACAGAAACATGATTTGTAGAAGTGGGACAAAATGGTGAATTATCATGTTGTAATAACAAGGCCCCACCGAAACAGGGTATTTTCCAGCTAGTACCATACATGTAACACGCTATACGCAATAAAATGTTCATCTGATCAATAGAAAGGTGAGACAATAAGACGACACAATGACCGATATCCAAGAGAATACAGAATGTTCAGCGGGTGCCTTGCTTTGAAATTATCAAAACACCTGAATGAAATGGCAAATCTGTCACTGAAATCTTTTGCTTTCAATGTCCTTTGAAAATAAAGAGAATGTCTATATTGAACTTCCGTCGACGTTGCCCAACCATGACTAAGCTTTGTGGAGACCTTTATGTGGAACATAAATATTATTTGAAACGCTGGAGTGTGTTGTTTAACTCGTCGATGCATTCACAAATTTTAGGTAAAGGTGAAGTTTAGTAACTCCGTATTGAGACATACAGCTGTAGTGTATAAATGAGTATTCACAATATTCTTTGTACCCTCCATTCACTTCGTACGAAAATAGAGCGTAGTCCAATCTGAAACTTCAATGGATTGACTTATCCAAGCGATTTTAATCCAGAATGATGCTTAGAAATTAGAAATTAAATGAACGAACCGAGCTATTTGTTGCAGCAAAGTTACATGTTCTAATGGTGCGCCGTGAATCTCCACAAATAACTAAATGAAATGATATGAGAAGTATACATGAGGACAATACCGTCTTTTTTGTGGACTCCTTTATCATTCTCGCTTTCATCTGATTTTTTGTTGAGGTTTGTCTGAATTCTCATGCGTGATGATATCACAATGCAAATCAACGCTTGTTTAGATAATTTGAAAAAAAAAAGAGAGAAACGCGGAACGTAACTTGATTTCTAACCCGCTATTGATGTAGTAGACTACCGAGGCCCACAGCACTTCAATTTAATTCTGACTTCTTTTTTTTCTAAGCCCTTATAAGTAAGTTTTCAGTAAACAACTCTACATTCTTGATATCCTTGCCAAACATATGGGCCAAAAGGGCAATCGCACACCTTTGTTATTCTAGCTACTAACTGTAAGTTGTTTCAGTCCTGCTCGATTTTTAGTTGCCTTGTTTCAACGCAGCTATTGTCCTAAAGTTTTGCACTAATTGCAGTATTACAAACACTATCCAGAAGCAGTTCTCTTGCTTTTGCCAATGCTTAGTAATTCTCGATGAAATAGTTTTAATGTAATTTTAAGCCCTGAATTTGAAGCGCCAAAACGCAGTCACGCTCAAGAAAAAGTTTCATGGAGCGATTTCGCAGTGTTTGAAAAGTCACCTACTTAATGTTTTATAAAAAGTAAGGGTATAATGGGTTGGCCTACGCACCCTTTTCGTTCAACATATAGAAGCCCGTAGCAAAGCTGCCTCAGTCGATCTCAACTATAGGACGTCCGCGCAGGGCGCGGAGAGTGCGCAAGGTGAGTTGCGTGCTACTTCTCTTTCCTCGTGCACTGCCGCTTGTTTTCTCTGCGCTTCTTCCAGTCGTGAACTGCCTTCAATGTACGCAACAGCGTTGCTCTCCGTGCGCAGCGCGAACGGCCTATAAATTTCAGTCGAGCCTTTGACGAGTCAGCTCTGCCTCAGTTAAGCCATTGATTGATGATTCCAACCATCCACATTAGTATGATTGTATACGCCCGTTCATGCAAGTATACAAGTCAAAACCCATTCGTCAAACATTCATATCTATGTCATTGGTACTAGCGGCGGAGATGTGGTCGCACTTGGATCTTGTTAAGTATCGTCAGCCTGCACTGTGGCTCCTCACCGACATATTAAACTGGCATGTATCGCAAGTTAGATACTTAGAAATGACTTACGAAATTTTCTTTGCGTATCATTAATAACACACTATTCAATTCATTGGTCGTCTAACTCAATGTGAACCAATTTATAAGATAGACGAGCTCGTCAGGTATACGGACGGTACACTGAAATTTCATTTTGCATTCTTACAGCATAGGGTGTTGCATGTCATTCTACCCTACCGAATCTTGGATGGGGGCTTCAATTCAGTCCACCTGAACTGAATTAGCTTTACTACGGGCCAATGTCTTACTCGGATTTTTCAAAGATTGCTAGTTATTCAACAAGCGAAAACAGAGTTAGTCTAGTGGTTAAAGCTCTACGTGATAATGCAGCGCTGAATGTCAGGGTTTCATTCCACCTTGCGCCATTTCTGCGGCAAATTTTCTGCTCACAGTTGCAGCGTCAGGATGAACTTCCAATAAAGGGAAGACAGTTGAGAAACACCCTGTCGCATCAACATAACAGATCTCATATAAAACTCAAGTAAAGGCTAGGGCGTCTCCCCTAAGCAACGCGCATTCGAGCCCGACGAGTGCGAATAGTATGTGATAATTACCGTCTCAGCGAGGTGAACGGGGACGGCTGAAGAGACCCGTGGTCAGAGGCAACGGTCCCAAAACTCGCAGACTGTCCTAGCTATATTTAACATGGGTATTTTATCAGGCGCTGCAGGGGGTCAGCAGTCCTCGTAAGACGGCAACGAGCGGATGTTTATTTATTTATTTGTGTAAAACAATCAGCGATGTTCCGAAAACCAAAAAAAAACTCAAATAAAACTCGAAAAAACATAATAGAAACAGATACCAATAAGGAAAGGTAATGTTTTGGTCGAAAGTGTCATAGCAGCAGCAGTCCTTGCAAGATCATCAGGTCATTCTCCAGTTTCAAAAGGTGAGGGTCGTTTTCCAAGATCCTGTTCCCTACCCCTAACGCAATCAGATGAGGTCATATCTTCAAGGTTCGGCTGACCGACTTAATTTAAAGGGGACGAATTTGCGAATTCGTCAGGAACCCCGGGCGAGAAGAAAGGAGAGACCTCAAGAAAAAGGGGCTCACCAACTTTTGATCTCCTCAAACGGCTACTCCACGCAAGGCATGCTGTGATCGCTCAAAATTTTAGAGTACAAAAACCATTTGAGCATTATTCAGTCTACCATATTTGGGTAAAAATAATGTAAAAATAATGTACTATTCTGAATTTTGTGAATAAGCATATCCTAGGTAACATCAGCGATTTTCAGTGATTGCAAAGCGTTAATCGTAGCTAGTCTTTCTCGGAAATTCGCGAAACTCGTACACGTAGCTGTTTCCCTAGGTAGAAGGCCTAACCATCTAGACGTTCGGCACACAAAAAAAGTTAAAAGCTTTGCAAAGAACTCTGCTTTCCAACTCGCGGTAACTCAAGCATAGCTCACCAGTCCGCATCCCACAAGATCTAAAGACCCAGTATCTATTAGGTTTTAGTCTCGTTTTTAGTCTGATGATACGAAAAATAATATCAAAAGTGATGGTAATATTGAAACCAACGAAGATGTGATGGTTCAATCATGATCACATCGTGATAAGCATGATCATCTTCTCACGGCCACTCATTTCATCGGTCATATAAAATCATGAAACAAGCAAGTAATTATTGAGAAACCATACTTGTTTCATGCTTGTTTCATTCTGAACCAAACTACGAATTAATCAGCAGGTTAACACCATAGTTTGCTTATCAAATAGAGTAATGAAAATAGCCTTTCATTTCATGAGACGCAGACTAGAAATCAGCACATCAATATCTAGAATGAAAAAGTAATTCGACCACTCTATCGTTTGAAACAATGATATTGGTTTCACATTGTGTTAACGCGTAAAGCAATAAAGTAAGGTCAAATAACCATTTTATCGTGCTACTGGCGCCGGATGAACTCCGACACATAGTGAGCTATGCGTGAGTTACGATCAAATCAAGGGCGGAATTATCAATCTCTGACTTGCTTCTGGGCCATTCGAGAGCGCCAATCCGGTAATTCATAAAATGCTTAATGTTGGCATCCAAAATATCTGCCTATTTTTACTTTGAAGTATTACTTTGTTAGAATAGAGGATCTTGAAGAAAACCCTGCAAAATTCTCTAAATCTTTTCTCTTTCAAATGGCTTTTTCGCATGACATATTATATTTATGTATCATAGTCTCGTTTGATCCAGCAAATTTATTCCGCTCAAAAGTGTTAATGCTGAAAAAAATCATAATATTTTAAATAAGAAAATCTGCACGTACAGATTCTGAAACAACTTACATCACTTCGCGTTTAAGCACTACCTTACAAATTTTGGGAATTATCTCCCTTCAATTTCCTGAAATTTTACGCTTTACTTTTTCAACGTCATTTGCGTTTTATTCAAGAGACAGTAACGCCATCTATTGAAGCAGATATAATTGGTTGCATAGCAGCGTATTACAAACTTTTTCGTGCGTTTGCAAGATCCTTTTAGGCCTATATACATCCCCGCGGGGAAGAAAGGTGCGTTTTACCATAGAAATGATCCCAGCTGGGGCTCCCTTCCCGTCCCCACGCGAACCCTCGTATGCACAAAGACAATATCGGAGGGGGGTCCCCTGGGAGTAGGGGAAGTGAAGTCCCTTATGCACAAAGGGATTGAGCGGGGAAATTATTTCGCTTCCGCTTTTCTATGGTAAAGAAGCTGCAAAGCGTGCCAGCTCTTCATGGAGGCTGTAGCTATTAGTGACATACATTCCCTTTCCTAAAGGGAGTGATCCTCAGCACCCATCCCTGCTATGCACGAGGGGAACGCTAGGGAGGGGATCACTTCCCTGGAGATCTCTACTCACAATTGAGCAAATCTGCTACTTTCTATATTTTTTCAAGGCAGCTTATGTTAAGATAATAAGATAAAGGTAGTATATCATATAATAGATGGTTACGATGTGTTCAATTAGCCTATATGGTTAAATCTTTCATGTCATATGAAAAACGTGCAAATTTCTTAAATGATCAAGAACTCCCAAAATCGAAATTGACAGCCATTATTGCTTGGTTTCTTCTCGAGAGGCGAATTTAGAAGAGAGAGACAAAATTGCAAGCCACAAGTTGCTAAAGAGAAATACGGCTTTCGGAGAAAATCTCTCATCAAGGTGAATGAAATGCTTGATAATAATTGATTGAAACCAAAATATTCGCTTCTCTGGCACAGTCTACACCATCGAACCCCCACTTCGTTGCAGGGGATGTCGATCCTCTCCCTCGCGTTGTTGAGCTACTTTCGTGCGTACGGGAGGGAAAGGAAAGAGATCAAGGGATCCCCGCTGGAGTTCGCCCGATCGATACTCCTGAAATCAAGTACCGAATTTGTGGCAGCGAAAGAGTACCGCAAAGAAATGGTTAGCAGACGTTGAAAAGAAACCACAGAAATTACAAAACTGCACACTTATGAATTGTTCTATGAGAGAAGTAAGTCATGACATAATTGCCAGCAAACCATAACATGAAAATAGAACCATTACTACAAAGAACAACACTATTACTACGAAAGCACGTAACGAATACAACAAAGTCTTAGAATCAGTAATAGGAAAAAAAAGAGACCGAGGAGAGAGATACAACGGGAGGGGTGAAATGAGAAAAAGGAGAAGAGGGAGAAAAGGAACAAAGGCACTCAAATCACTATTCCTGTACGTTTTATTCCAAAAGTAGTACACAGATATTGGCTGAAAATAGATTTATGGGGGGGGGGGGGGGGGAGGTCTTCTGATAGCCGTGAGTTGATGCGATTACCGCAATGACAGTACCCCGCTGTAGATGCAGGGGAGGGGATCGCTCCCCTCCCCTCTGACATAGCGGGGTTCAAAAAAAGGGGATCGTTCCCCTAGGGATCCAGCTCCCCTCCCCTCCCCAGCGAGGATGTAAGTGCATACGGGCTTTAGAGGCATCAACCGTGCCTTTTGCATTTTACGGCAGCAGAGGAGAAAGCTATAAGCCGCATAAAAAGTGATTTGCTGAGGGGTTAAGATTTGTTTACCTGTTTGCCTCGCCTTTTATCTGAAAAAAAAAACTTACTTGACAAACTTTGTATATCTCTAAAAAAGGAATGAGAGAATTGTGCTCGGCACCTTCGATGTCGATTTTGAGAAATTCCACGTGTTTATCGTTGTTGCGTGAAACGAGATCACCTAAGATATCCCAAGATGTTTTACGAAGTTAAGCCTACAATACAGTGCTGGACAAAATTATAGGTCCACTCTAAAAAATGTCATAACTCACTCTGTTGTCAATAAAATGTTCCAAAATCGGGTGCAGCTGTGTTTTCCAGTCCACTATCAGTCATCAAAATGGGACTCGTTTTCGTTTGGTTGTTCAAGAAAAAATCAAAAATTTCGAAAAAAGCAGGCTCAAAGGCTGGACAAAATTATAGGTCCATCTGGAGTTTTTACTGATTGAAGCACTTCTTAGCTCCCAAATTTTTTTTAGACAGGTACACATTCAAAAGTGTTAAACAGTTGCTTTAGTCAAGCTGTGTCATACCTCCAAAAAGTGCTGATTATCTGCTTTTTGTCTGGAAATGCTTTCACATGTATTTCGCTCCACAAACCTGCGTTGAGTAGGAAATTTTGCAGTTTATCAGCTAGATCGAAAGCGACGGGGTTTTAGCTACCTTCTGGATGCTTTCTGACGTGACCATTGAGGAAAAGACCTGACTTTTTGCTGCTGAAGCAAAGCCGACATTAACTTAATCGGGAGCGTAAGCCTCAGTTTTTACCCTAAAACCCGTTAGCATTATCCTTAAAACCTCAAAATATAGTAGAAGCATTCTTTACACAAGAATGAATCTGTACGCCATATTCACAAGTGTTCAAAGCTGTTTTGCTTCTTTTTCGAAACATGAGTTGTGCAACATAATGATGGTTGTTACTTACTTCCAAAATAGCTTGACAGGGGTGACAACTCAAATTTTTGTAGGTAATCTGCTAACTAGATAATGGATACAGTTTGTATTGTATGTTAGCACATGATTCGCTGGAAAATTTTGGTCGAAGCCACAATTAGCTTTGGTGCTTTCGAAATCAGTTTTTACAGGGCCATTTTGATGACTGATAGAAGACTGGTAAACACACGCTTATACCAAATTTTAGAAGATTTTATTGGCACCAGAGTGAGTTGCGGCTTTTTTTAGAGTGGACCTATAATTTTGTCCAGCATGTATCTCTATAAATTGCATCAAATTATCTAAAAGATCCATGATGAAGGGAAGCTTTCACTTACCAAGAAAGTACATATTGTCCGACGCATTTGTCTTTGGACCTATTTTAAGAGCTTCAACTTCGCCGTTTATAGCATGATACCGTTGCACTGTAGCAGACGATTGTTTTACCTAAAATACCGGTTTGCCGAGTGCACGTTTGTGTATATTTAAAATTTTGGATACCATGTCGTAACCATATATTCGACAACTAAAATTGTTGATTTCCTGTATGTCATGGTCGAAAGAGATCTCTTCATGCAGCCCCAATGAGTATATACTATAAAAGAAAATGTGGATATTTTGTTCGATGTTACAGGAATTTTTGAGCAAAACTAAGTTAACAATTTTTGTCCGAATTAAATTGGCCACAAAAAGTTGTGAAAGATGGGCTTATGACTTTACTTAAGGCTTGCAAGTACCGAGCGTGGAGCACATCGAATGACCGACAACAAGCTTCTGCCACAATAACAACAAGCGAGGCTTATTAAGACAGAGATTACTGCGCTCTGCATATTCAAACAAATATCGAAAATGCGCTTCATCCAAATAGTGAGATTATTGCAGTAATATTCTTGTTTTGATATTACTTAAAAATCGCAGTTTCAAACACAACCAACTGATAAATTCAAATATTAGATTGGTTATAAACGACATGCGAATTTTACTGAAATAATTATCCTGTTTTTTGGCTAACTCTATTTTAGCGAGGAAGTAGTTCCAAGTTTGTATTGTCACATATGGAAAATTCAAATTTTTCTTTCGAATAAGGGGTAACGTTTCAACGTAGCTAGCTTTATAGAAGTGATTTTGTTGAATTTGAGTTTCGTTTTTACGCTATGGTGTATGCGCATATGAGTAACAAGTTTTTGCTCCTCAACGAAGAGCTGCTTTCAATTTGATTTCTTGCGGCTAAAATTACTCCTCACACTTCGCGCGATGTGATACCCTATTTTCAGGTGTATAAGCCGCACCCTTTTCGCTCTAAACGCAGGCGTGCGGCTGCGCGTGTGGCTCGGGAAGAGGTCGCTTTCTCGCACATTGCTCTCACTTAACGCGCCCCATCGTAACAGACACTCTTTTGACGTGTGCGCCTTTAGAGTGAAAAGGGTGCGGCTTATACACCTTCAATAGCTTTTATCCTTCATCAGATAATACTTCCACTCACATAGAGTGCATATTCTGATTCTCATCGTGCTAGTTTTTTTAGGCACAACAAACACTAAGAAAAATAGCTACATTTGTAAGACTACTACCGAAATTGTTTCTTATATCACTTCATGACATCTTTGATGTTATTTTAGATAAATGAGAGCGTTACCTGCAGTTCTTCCTCAACATCGCTATTGGATTACAAACCCATTTACCGCCATCCAAAACGCTTCCTATTCGAACGAGATTGCGACAAAAAACCTAAGAAGAAATCATAATGGCTTGTACTATATTGCTGCAGCTACTGCAACAAGCACCACAACCGATTTGGATCCAAGTAGATGTGGAATGATTGAGAACAATAAAAACCGCATGCCTCCAAGATTCTACCCGTGCTACAGTTGGCACGAGCTGAAGCTCTGTGCATATCCCAAACGATAATCCTTTCTGAAACTCAGCATGCTTTTTTTACGCGCGATCAGCACTACATATACAGAGGTGCGATAGTGGGAGCCGATTCTCGCCCTACTTTTGAGCTGGTACAGGGTAATCACCTTCACTTTTGGAACAGATTTTTTCCGCTGAACGATAAAGAAGGAAAATAAGCAAAAGAAATGCAAAAGAGATCAGTGAAAGCATATTTCTATGTATACAACGGCATGAATATTTAGAATAATCGTGCTTACCAAATGGTGCACTTGGAAGTAAAACTCGGCGGAACTGTACGGATTTTATTAAGTAAATTTTGTTATAACGTAGCGAGAGCCAGAATTTCGAATTATAAAATAATGAAAAATCATGCGAAAATTCCACTTTATAAATTTGGTATTTGAAGATGTCAGCAATTGCGGCTTCGTGGGTTTTGAAGAGTAAATGGTGCTCTACCAGATAGTGAAAAATGGAGTCGATTTGAGAGATAGTCGCTAAAAACCAGAATTAAAAAAATTTACGCCGTTTTAGGCCCCGGACAGACTTCACGCGATTTGATCGTCGCGACTCAGTCGCGACGAGATAACTGTTACAACATCATTCCATGCCGATCAACTTGCATTCGGTTGTGATACGTGATACTTTTCCAGCCCGAATTTTTTGAATGTGAAATGCAAATGAATGGAAATCTTGGCGATTAGATCGATTAAGTCGCGTGAAGTCTGACCGGGGCCTTAGCGTGTTTAGTGACAGCTGACAGTTAAACTCATAGAAATTTTGAATATGAAAGGGGCGTGATATTGCGACTTCATAGGTTTTGTAGAGCAAGGGTTGCCCTGTCAGAATATGTCTTATTCCCACCAATCCATTCAAACACCGACGAGATCCAGGCACTTTAAAGCAAGTAAAAAAGCGCTTTTTAAAATTTAACAGCTCATAACTTTTTAAGAACTGCTTGAATCATATTACAACTTCATAGGTTAGGTTCTTCTCATCAAGAGCTTTCAGATGATTTATAATATGTGGAAGTTTAGGGCCTATTACGACTTATGCCCGTGGTGGAGACTTTTCATCATAAATTCTCCTTCCAGCCCACTTTAATGTATTGGATGGAGGCCGCCATATTAACGCTCCCCCCCCTCCCCTTCTCCGTTTTCGGGAGGTGAGTGTCCTGCACTACCACCTTCACTTTTGGCCGGCCAGTGGTAACCGGGACCACCTTCGCTTTTGGTGGACCCGGCTTCCCCCATCGCACCCCTGCATATATAAGGTCATTCCGAAAGTAATTTCGCTTATTTCAAACGGGCGCCACATCTGATAAAACAAAGGTTTCTAAGAAATCTTGGTGGCATTCGAAACAGCATTTCATTCTCTTTTTAATGGTTACTGGATGCCTTACCCGGCTCCGCCCGGCCCTGTCATTGTTTTATTTGTAATCAGCATGCTCGAATACCCCCTGTACCAACTCCCAGCCCCGTAGCTCAAATTTTGCAAAAAAATCGATAAAATCGATATCAGTCGATGGCGAAAAGTAGCCTATGACACCCGCCGGGGCCCGAAGTGCATGTGTGCCAAGTTTGGTCCGGATCGGTTCAGAAATGGAATTTTCTATTCGGAACATATGTACAGACATACAAACAGACATACAGACAGACAGACAGACAGACAGACAGACAAACAGACATTCAGCTCTATATATAAGTTGAAATTGTTGCAAAATATTCAATAAGCTCTCAGAAAATAACCAAAATCTACGACCTATGCTTTTTGAGATAGTCAAGTTTTACAATTCTCTAAAACTTTCATATCAATTCTCAGAAGAAGTTCAAGTGACGGATAGAGCAAACCTCATAAAATACAGTGCATTTTTTTTCTCTTTTCCATGGCTTGTCATAAATTTTTAAGCGAATTTTAACTGATGCTACCGAATTCCATACTTGGACAGCTAAATGCTAGTAGAACATCAAAAAAAGATCAACTCGCGCACTATTCGAAGCAGTTTTTTCTCCTCTTTCCGATGGGATTGTTTTCGATTCGTTTAGTTTCCGGGGATAAAATCATCATAAGTCATTTTTTGGGGAGCCTCAGGCTGTACCCGAAAAACTCGAAATTTGATATTTCGAAACCGTAAACCCTCACTTGCTTTGTAAAATTAATGCCTATCAATAGTACTATCTTGGTAGTCTCAAATCCCGAAAAATTATGATGTTTGATGCGATTGTGGTTGAAGTGGGCCTGCCAAAATCCGATAGTTCTGTTAAAAACCTAAAAAAATATTACGGGGAGATACGAGGAAGAGAAAAAATTAGTACTGTATTCTATAAGGTTTACTTTATCGAATCGTTACTTGAACTTCTTCTGAGGATTGATATGAAAGGTTTAAAAAATCGTGAAACTTGACCATCTCAAAAGCATAGGTCGCAGATTTTGGTTCTTTTCTGAAAGCTCATTGAACGTTTTGCAACAATTTCATAACTATTAGAAAGAGAATAAGATGCTGCATCGAATGCTTCCAAAAACTCTTAGAAACCTTTGTTCCATCAGATGTGGCGCCCGTTTGAAAAAAGCGAAATTACTATCGGAAGGACCTAATACAGAGTGTCCCAAAAAAATGTATCGAACGTTTGATCGCTAATATCTCTCTTCCCAAGAAGTCTTTTGCCTTGCTTCAAGTACCGTTTTGTAGAGCTGGCTTCAACTTAAATTTATAGAGCAAATCACTCATCTCTCTTTATTACTGTAGGATTACGGTAGAAGCTTGAAACATATTGTGTCAATGTGGAAAAAGCTGCCCTTTCAAAATTTTTCAAAAAATTGTGAAAACTTGTGTATTAGGGTTTTTATGGACGCTGAGTTCAATACTTAACTATTCACAAGATTACGAAGCTTTCTAAACGGTGTAATCGCACTTTTTAGGAACATTGAAAAAATGACCGCTACCTCTTACCTGACATAACTCTTCAATGAAGCATCATAATAAGTTGGAAACTTTACGGTTATAATAAGCAACTCTAATTTGCCTAGTGTAAAAGCTTTCAGGCTGTTTTGTTTTCTTTCTGAGGCAAAATATGGCCTTTCATCGCTCAAAACCCTCTTTGAAGTTTCTACCGTAATCCTACAGTAATGAAGAGAGATGAGTGATTTGTTCTACGCAAATCTAAGTTGAAGCCAGCTCTACAGAATGGTACATGAAGCAAGAGAAAAGACTTCTTTAAAAGAGAGATATTAACGATCAAACGTTCGATACATTTTTTGGGACACCCTGCATATATGTAGCGCCTCAGTGAGGGGTTGACGTCACGTCAAAATGGAGACTACTGGGATTTTATAGTGCAAACATGCATTCCGCGAAGCCAATAATGAAGGTTGAAGCGAAGCTTGTTAAGGTTTGAATTTTGCTTCAAAAGCGCTCCTCAACTCGTCATACCAAATTTAAACTATATCCAAATGGGCGTATTCCACACACGGTCATGATGGGCTTCCACCACGAACCTGCGTCCCTTGACGGAATCTGCTGGTCTGAATTCAAAACTAAAGGTATCAAAAATTTGTTTTCGATAATCCTCGAGCTACATTTTAACACAGTCGCGCGTGAGAAGCCTAAGTAAACCAAAAACTTGAGATATCTGAATTTTGCAGGGCGCTGACTTCAAGACGGCACATCTAAGCGGCAAAGAAGCCCTACTGGTAATCTTTTATTGGATCACTATTTCAACTAGCTACCATAAAAATTTTAAACCTGTATTTTTATGGCTGCCTACATGTCGAAGAAAACCAAGTAATGACTCAAAGCGATACATGTATGATCGATGTATTTTGCTTATTTGACCACATACTTGACCTCATTTTGGAACTATTCTTGTCAAATATTTCATGTCTTAACTCAATATATTAGGTCATTCCAAAAGTAATTTCGCTTTTTTCAAGCGGACGCCACGTGTAATGGAACAAAGGTTCCTAAAAGATTTTGGAAGATGCAGAATTTCGTTCTCTTTCTAAAGATTATAAAATTATTGCAGCATATTCAATGACCTTTCAGAAAATGACCAAAATCTGCGACCCATGCTTTTGAGATGGTCAAGTTTCCCGATTTTTTGAAACTTTCATATCAATCCTCAGAAGAAGTTCAAGTAACGATTCGATAGAGTAAACCTTATAGAATACAGTGCTACTTTTTTTCTCTTTCTTGCAGCTCGCCGTAATATTTTTTAAGATTTTCTAGCAGAACTATCGGATTTTGGCAGGCCCACAGCCACAATCGATCAAACATCATAATTTTTCGGAATTTGAGACTACCAAGATGGCACTATGAGTTGGCATTAATTTTACAAAGCAAGTGAGGGTTTACGGGTTCGAAATATCAAATTTTGAGTTTTTCGGGTACAACCTAGGGCTCGCTAAAAAAATGAGTTATGATGACTTCCCCTCGGAAACTAAACGAATCGGAAACAAAAAACACCTATTAGGAAGAGGAGAAAATGCTGCATCGAATAGTTTGCGAGCTGCTCTTCTTTCGATGTTCTACGAGGATTTAGCTGCCCAGGTATGGAAATCGGTAGCATCAGTTGAAATTCTGTTAAAAATAGATGACAAGCTATGGAAAAAAGAAAAAAGTAGCACTATATCCTATAAGGTTTACTCTATCGAATTGTTACTTGAACTCCTTCTGAGGATTGATGTGAAAGTTTTGAAAAAAAAGTGAAGCTTGATCATTTCAAAAAGCATGGGTCGCAGATTTCGGTCATTTTCTGAAAGATCTTTGAATATGCTGCAATAATTTTATGATCATTAGAAAGAGGACAAAATTCTGCATCGAATGCTTCCAAGATCTTTTAGGAACCTTTGTTCCATCACACGTGGTGTCCGTTTAAAAAAAGCGAAATTACTTTCGGAATGACCTAATATAATATTTTTCTCGAGTTATTTGTCGTTCACTCTGTATTACGTACTCTTTTCGAAGCTTTCATTTAGATTTTGAAACGTTTTTTGAATCACACAAAACTGAAACATGCGGAACAAGGCTAAATGGCTGACCTCTTTCAGGGTTTAGCACAGATGGCTTACAAGCAAGCTGGATATCGTTTTTGGGAGAAAAAGCAAAGCGGGCTTCGTTTTTGTGGCCGAAGAGACAGAAAATTTGCGACGTTTTTTAGTCGATGTTTCGTTTTTTGTATAGGGATTATGGTTTAGGGTCAAAGGGTACTTTGTAAAAATTCGCAAAAGTCAAGGGGGACTTCGTTTTTCGCACTTTCTAGTAGCCACCTAGTGCCGAGTCCTGCCTCTTACCTAACTGATAGAACTTTTCAATACGCTCAAATTCAACCAATTCTCTTCCCTTCTCAGCAACCAACGAAGTATTTCAAGGTGGTGTTCTTACCCCTAATTCTTTTTAAACTACACGGAGTGATTTACCCGGCCTTTTATCATTTGACTGGCAAATTAACGTCATATGTGCAGAATATAAAATATGTGCTGATGAGAACAAAGCGGAAGTGACCAGGGTCTTAAGAACGTGCCTTCACAAAATTCTAATGTATATCAAGCTGTATGTAGCCTATGAACTGAGAATTTCACTTGAAATAAAGACATTTTATCCTCAAAAGAATTCAGTTGATTTCCAGTGCACTGTATCATAAATTTTTCCTAAGTGATGATTACTCGTATGCCCTTCCGTCCTATAGATGTGGGCTGGACCGCATGAAGTTGATAGTTTGCTTTACCGAAGGAATTTGGCTGACGTTACTTGCTTTCCAAATTATTTACTTTAGAATAAAAGTTGTGGCTAGTAAATTCTAGGTTTGGAGAACGTGCATCGGTCAAACAATTGGGTTTGGCTTCCATGGCGTTGACCAGGGCCCGGCACGCGTTGGTTTGGAGGTTTTTAGGAAACGAAGTCCCCCATGACTTCGCGAAAATTTACGAAGTCCCCCTCGACGTAAAAATCAGTAGGGAAACCCTTATTCAACCAAAATAGCAACAAAAAAGCGAAAAAAGTGCATTTTGAGGTATGTAATATAAGAAAAAAGCAAAAAGAAAACATTTCGAGTCGATTAAAGGCTCTGCCATTGGGTATAGTACCATTTTGATGCTGGGAATGTCGAGAATCTCCTAGGCCAACCAAATCTGTAGCCTCAACAATCCTGCGATGCATTTTTCGCCACATATTTCAAAGGACACCGCAAGTGATTGGAGCGCGATATCTATCAACGCGTAAAATTATACTACTTTTGACTCAAAAAAGGGAGAGGCAACGGTTTGATCCGCTCTCTTCACTATATGATAGATTTTTGACCGTTCTAATCGTCCAAATCAAAAAGCTCTAAAACTTATGTGAACTCTCCGATATTTATGCTCCGAACCAACCCAGTTGGTTTGGTAGTTGGTCTAGAAACCAACGAATTCGAGAACGGATATTAGGACACATAAGTTTTGGGAACTTTTTAAATAACATAGTTTGGAGTAATATTGTATACTCAAAGCCCAAATTCGGAGCCATGTGATTGTTTGTGCGCTGTAAACAAGCCATTTGTTTGTTTGAGTCTTGCATTTGAAATTCCCGCGCTTGCAAAAGAACACGTTCAACTCGTGAAACCTGACATGTTCGTCGTGTTTTTTTGGCGCTTCCTTCAGGACCTTATGAAAACGATGTCCCCGTTGCTTCCAACTCCAAAAACGAAGTCCAGTTTGACCCCAAACCATCGGTGCCGGGCCCTGGCGTTGACTTTGAGGCTCCAGATACACTCTTCTCACACTCTTTTTCGCATGCACTTCTCGTTGGTTGCAAAAGCTTTTCGACTTGTTCTCTCTGCTCCTATCAAAAAGTTTTACAATTAAACTCCTAATTTCTGACTTTTTGATAATGTCAAGACTAGATAAATCTAAGTACTTTTGAGAAAGAGTCATTTCCTTTTGCATTTTTTTATACATTTTAGTTTCTGTATAATCTTGTTCTCCCTCTTTTTCTCCAAAGTGCTGAGGTAGGGTTGCTCGGCCTTGTACTGTGTATCGTTTAAGTTCCAGATTAAAAGAAAAGAGGACTTACTGGATTGGAAAAAGGTAGACCGTAGCGTTCTCGACGCCCGTTTCAACGTGCATTGTAAATGCATTGGTCCTTCTTATCCTACGAAACTAGCTTGGCAACTAAGTTTGCAATTTTTGTAAGACTAAGGTTTGTTCGAACACGGTGCATTCATCCTTTAGTATAAAGAGATTATGATGTAAGGCTACAAGTGTTGCCATAATTGCCGAATTTTGCCATCACATTCAAGACTCAGAGTTGTTATGCGGTATAAGGGTAGAGAATTCAAATCGCTACAGATCTTGCTAAAATTTTGCCTGGGTTTCCAAAATTCTGATTACAAAAATGACATCCATTCCGCATGAAAGGGCCCTGTGAAGTCATGCAATTATTTATCATAGCAGTAATTAAAATCTTATTTAGCATGTCGAATTAACCGCTTGTAAAAGGTCTCGAAAAATTCCGAGCTTGTTTGTTGAAGGAATGCTCTCACAATTTGACGCATTCGACTCATTTAATTCTCGACGGAGCCAGATTTCAGTTCATGTCCCAATTCCAAATTTTTCTAATGAGTATATTGAATCAATCTCTAGCAATATAGTGCCTACAACGGCCTTGGTGTCTATTTCGAGTTGCGGCTTCATTTTTGCTCAGAAAAGCTAAAACATTTATTTTAAACGTTCTGAAAGCTTAGATTTCTTCTTTCAGGTTGGTGCAAAAATAATAGCCTTTTTGCGAATTTTCACTTTGATGTGCTATAACTTTGTGAAAGATTCACATTTCCGAATGCGGTAACAACCATCAGAAGCAGCAAACCTTCTGCAATACGACACACGTTTACTTATACTCATATGACGAACGAGTAGAAAAATATGGATTGTTAAGCAAGAAAGGTTCTTCTGCTAGAACATTGTTTTTGACAATTCATAACTTCCTTTGAAGCTTGCTAGTATGAATAATAAGGGGCCTATCTTGTAGCCCAGTAGTGCAATATACAATAAAAAGAATCCAGACAAAAAGTTTGCGAGAAATAAAAATCGAAATTCAGAATTTCTCAGCTTTTCCAACATTTTTTCAGTATGTCAAAGTCCCTTAGAATTTTCTGATATTCTACGTACTAAAAGGCTGGATGTTTTTTGCAAAAACTGCTAATGGGATGTCCTAGCCCTAAGCTTACAGAATTGGGCAAAGCTTTGGCAATTGACTTCTTCAAAAGAAAATTATGGCTCATAAAATGACCGCAACAGCTACTCATGCTGAAGCGCCGATATTCCAGTTTGGATAACTTTAGAGAGTAAAATTAAGTATGCATAGTGTAGACAATTTCTATTGCCAATAGCTAATTATTCGAAAAAATGCCATTGATATGCGCTTGAATTCTGGCCAGAAAGGTGAATGCAATGAAATTCTGAATTTGGATGTGGTTATTGGAAGCTCACTTTATAACAGACTAGCTGGCTTACCCGACTCCGCCGTATGTTCCGAATAGAAAATTCCATTTCTTAACCGATCCGGACCAAACTTGGCACACATACACTTCGGGCCCCGGCGGGTGTCATGTCAAAGTCCACTTTTCGTTATCGATCGATGTCGTTTTATCGATTTTTTTGCAAAATTTGAGCTAGGGGGCTGAAATTTGGCAGAGGGGTGTAATCGAGCATGCTGATCACCCTCACGGGGGTGATCAGCATGCTCGATTACCCCCCTGTGCCAACTCCCAGCCCCGTAGCTCAAATTTTGCAAAAAATCGATAAAATCGATATCGATCGATGACGAAAAGTAGCCTATGACACCCGCCGGGGCCCGAAGTGTATGTGTGCCAAGTTTGGTCCCGATCGGTTCAGAAATGGAATTTTTTATTCGGAACATACGTACAGACAGACATACATACATACATACAGACAGACAGACATACAGGCATTCAGCTTTATATATAAGATGAGGATGAAAGCCCGTTTCAAACACCGTTAGATAGAGCATAAAAACAGCTTCTCATGGTGCACTACATTTATTGTAAAGAAAAAGTAATGATGGAAAAAAGTTGCCCTAAAGAAAGTCTTGGAAAATCTGCCATTATTTTTGCAACAACTTAATATCATGTTAACAAAACCCAAACGGTTTAAGCAATTTTGTAGTTTATATCACTATATGACGCCAAAGAATAGAGCGCTCCATTCACAGAGAGAAAAGTTTGGTGAAAGTTGCAATTCCAGCTGCCCTAACTAACACCAGTAAAGCTATTTTTCGCCTTTTTCGGAGTTCCAAACCTAGTTTTCGGAACAAGAAAATTTGAAGTTGAAGTAATTTTGAGAAAAACGCACCTCTGGAACAATTGCATTATACAGGTTCAAATAACTTTTTGTCGTTTTTCGAATGCTCTCCAAACCACGTATTCTAGAAGCTGCCTGTGTAGCAAAATACTCCCTAGTCCAGGAGTCAGTGGACTCTGAAGCACACAGAAAAAGCCGCATTGAAGCAAAGGTAACGTTGTCTGGGCAAATGTAAGACCACATAAATCAATAGTTACCTTCAGGATATGGTTCTTTACATAGACTTAGAAGATTCAGTGGCTGATCGTATTTCTGATGTACAATATATACAACAGTAGTTGCCGTTAAAATTAACGCTGCAAGAGTAGTGAGATTTCGTGTCATCTGAAAAACAGTAAGATGTTTTTAAAAGGTAACAAGGCAAATAAAGACAGGCAGAAGAGTGAAGATATTTGAAGACAGTGATGGTGGATGATTTTGCTTATTGAAACTCCGTCAGGGCTCGGCACAAGAAAAACGAGCCAAGTCCAAATGTTGAACGAAAAGAGCATTTTCGGTACAAGTTTACAAGCATAAATATGCAATAGCTAGCTAATGAACTTTAACTGAATGGTATTTCTGGTTCTGATATACAGATTTCAAAAATCCTCACATTGCTTAGCATTGCGATGATAACGATTCGTCAATTATGTGCCTAAATAAATAGGTAGACATTTTTCGATTATAGAAAAATTGCGAATGTACAGTTATCACAGTGGAATGTGACAATTCTTGGCAAATTCGGCAAAGTCGGCGAAAAACGCAAAGTCGCCGACTTCGCCGACATCGCCGAGAATTTTTACATTCCAAAATCATAGCTTTACTTGAAGAATTACACCAAAGCGCGGTGCCGAAGATGCGATAATGCTTAACAACAGTGTTTAAAGGACGAATATTATGGTAATGAATTCAACGTTTTAGCCTGATCTGAGCAGTGGTGCCATCATTTTCATGCGGAAGCTATCATTGCGCACGAAGGTACTGCTTATTTCAAAGGTTTCATAAATTTTTTGGAATTGCGTCAAATTGGATATTCGTGTGGATTTAAGACGACATCAAGGAATTTCAGTGACTTTTTGTGGCAAGCAAATGTAAGCACTTATTTTTAACTCTATGAAATTGGGTCGGGAGGAAGAAGTGAATGTTATCGAAGGTATTTTTGCGGCTTATTTACTTCACTGTATGATCTGCTTTTACATGCCAAACTATACAATATCTTCAATGTCTTCTACTTTCAAATGCGTGACACAATTCAGCAAACCTCAGAATACGGTATAGGAAGCCGACGACTGAACTGTCATCATCATTATTGAACTAAGCTGTTCTGTCATAACCCCATCGAAAAATATTCTGAGTTTTGAGAAGAATATCCCCATTCGACTCCTGTAAGCGGCAATGTATCAGGTTGATAAGGAAGTTTTCTGAAATCTTCTAATCTGCTATTTTCCAAAATGCAATGCATGCAAGTGAAATAGAAAATTATACTTTTTCTTGTATGCATAAGCTGCCAAGTGTGAAAAGCCTAAGCCGCTTCTCGATTTTTTTGTCATTTAGGCTCAAATTGAGTACATCTAGAGGATACAAGTATACAAGTATGTGACTACTACATATCAAAGAATGTATGTGTCATAACGTTTAGGGAAAAATGGAAATCCGACTAAAATTGAATTGCCTCGATTTAGGCCTATATTTGCTTACAAAACATTATTGCACTTTTGCTTTCCGTGGTAAGGCGTGTTTTCCTCTATCCAAAGTATGCGCACCACTCAATACTATATCAAAACAAAGTTTATCAAGACGCAATGAGCGCCTCCTCTACAACCTGATAATTATTTATCTCATCTTTGACTGCCAGATAAAGTGAGCATGAGGCGTGCAAAGTCTTCCAGACTTTTGGCTTTCCCAGATGAAAAAACATGCATTCGTTGGCTCGCGCCTTTTTGAATTGTGCGGGTAGTGATCTACGACCCTAATCTGGCATTGTCCATAAGTGCAGCCCGTTAACTACGCATGTATAGAGCACGTCCCAGGATTCCAGTCTGGAAGGAGGGGGAGGGAATTTTCATAAAATAAGGTGTGTGGAGTTGGCCATGCACTTCGAAAAAATTTTTGATGCGCTTCTCAAAATTTTTGCAGGCCCATAACCCCTAACGCCCCGAGAAATTTCTTTTACAAGGCTAGTTTAAATTTCCAAGAAATTCAAAAATTATTTTAATTTTTTATAAGAACAATTTATTTATTTATTTATTTATTTATTTATTTTACACTTACACTCATGGTGCACCTAACAAAAAAAAAACAAACAAAGAATGCAGAACGAATTTACATAACCAACTAACCACTTAAGGTAGCTACACGAGATAGGAGCATAAGTATAAACAAGCTGAAGAGCCCTAGACCTTAGACGTGCAGAAGGCTGCGAAACTGCAAGAAAAAATCTAAAAGAAAGAAACAGGATCTTACTTACTCTAGAATTCTGATGACCCGGTTTTTTTGGGTGCCAGCGAGCCCCCGGTAAGCTAGCTGACTAGACCCCGATAAAGCTCAATTTTAGAGGAAGCAAGATTGTGTGAACTAAAATAGATGACTACTTCGAAGAAAAACGGTCTAAGGTTTGGGGCTAGAACTCAATGTGACCTGGAACTGTAAAAAGAACACCTTTTTGGTATGAAGGTTGGTTACAGTTAGTGAAGGCATAATCATGGTTAGTAACATAAATGCAAAAGGCAGAGAATGATCAATCTCTACTCGATCTGGCAAGAAGCGGGGAGTGATAGATGTGCAGTTGAAAGGCTAGATGGAGAGCAAGCATTGAAACAAACATCTCCTAAACATCAGGGATATGCAACGTAGTTAACATATTTATGGAAGCTAATTTTTTTACGAAAAACAGAAGTATTCTTACTGCAAACAATTTCTTTTGGTAAGAGACTCAGCCATCTTGATGTAGGGCAAAAAAATGAATTAAAAGTTGCCAAAAACATTTTTTTACCTAGTTTACGATGATGTAGATTAAACCCACCTGTACGTTCCCCACACGGCCTGAAAACCCAGTACTTACTCGCTTGCAATCTAGTTTCCAGATGCAAGATTCGGAAAGAAAAAACTAAATCGTTTACAACGCGCCTATATTTTAGACTACACAATTTCAAAGTGGCAAGTCTTTTACTATATGACGGTAAACATCGTGGGTAATCGGTACTGGGAAAACATCTGTAAAATATCCGAGTAAATACTTTTTGTACTTTCTCAAGTTTAATCGCATTCTTCTTAAGGAATGGATTCCAAACAGGTGAAGCGTAATCAAAGTGAAGTAAAACATAGGTTCTATACAATCGCACCAATAAAGAAGGATCGTTGTGTGCACGTTTCTCAGGAGCATGAACAACGATGCCAACTGATTTATTGATGACTGATTCGTAATGGCTGGTAAACTTGAGTGAACTATCAATCATAACCCCTAAATCTCTCATTACTTCCCGATGCTCAAGAACGGCATCCTCACAGTAATATGGCCTGTAAGGAGCATCGCCCAAGTGCATCACAGAACATTTTGAAAGATTTAGAGGACGATTCCATTTCCTTGACCATGTTACCATCTTTTCGATAGACGAAGAGAGGGCTTCATGGGCTTCAGTTTGTTCATTCTTGGCATATGCGAAGTAAATTTTCAAGTCATCTGCAAAAGTTTGTATGCGGATATTGGAATGTGTTTTAACGAAGGCAGGTAGATCAGCGGTGTAGATTAGAAAAAGAAGCGGTGAAAGAATCTCACCCTGAGGAACACCACTACCACAAACATACTCATCCGAATAGTCATTTCCGACTCGTACAGTCATTCTGCGTTTACTGAGATACGAGTCAATCCATGCCAGTAGTCTACCACGTACTCCGATTTTTTCAAGTTTGAATAAAAGTTTGCAGTGGTTGACTCTATCAAAGGCTTTAAAATCGAAATAAATGATATCAATTGATTTGTCTTGATAAATTGCAGTAATCCAATCAAAAAGTGAGTCGGAAAGTAGGGCAGTGGTTGATCCTCCAGGTAGGAATCCATACTGTTCTGAAGGTATCACATGATTCTTGTGTACCCAATCTTCTAGCTTTTCCTCGACAATTTTTTCAAGAATCCTACCACAAGGCGGAGTGATGCTTATGGGACGAAAGTTGGATAAAGAATTGCAAGTGGGATTTTTCGGGATTGCAGTTATCAACGCATTTTTCCATAGCTTAGGAAACTGCCCCATTGATAGGGTTGCATTGAAAATAAATGTCAAAGGTGAGCATAGAGAACGGGCACACTTTCTATAGAATATTTGAGGAATTCCATCGTATGTGACAGAAACCGTTGCTCTTAGCCTTTTTAGTATTTTGAGCAAAAGTTCTGGATATATTTGAATATCACTACAGCTAAAACATGGATATGAAGTTAATGGAGAAATTGCGTTGACATTATTCCCACGCCTATCATCTTCATTTGTAAAGATCCCAGCAAAAAACTCTGCCAAAGCAACAGCTTTTTCTTTATCACTTTGGAGAACTTTGTTGTCACTATCCAAAAGGGACGGAAGTTTTTGTGTCCTTTGCTGCAAAGTCTAATGTAAGCATAAAGTTTTTTCGCATCAGCCTTAGCAAAGTGTCTTTCCCTATTGGCTAGATACTTCTTGATATGATGCTTAATGTCAAGGCATACTTGTCTATAAGTATCATCAGCAAGCGGATCAGATAGATTGCCGAAAAGACGGGACTTTTGCTGCAACAGGTTGCATATATGTTTTGGATAGCCATGCGATTGACGTTTGTCAAAACGAAAGGGTACAAAGTCCGCGAAGATGCCGTAGACAATTCTACAGAAGCGTTCATAGAGATCATCAACGGACACATGGTTATCAAATACTTGCATCCAATCAATAGCAGAAATGGCATTGCTAATTCCGGTGTAGTCAGCATTCGCAAAGTCAGGATACGGAAGAAATACTGCATCACAGAAGTCCAAAGAAACTCGAAATGAGATGACATTGTGATCTGAACCACCAAAAGGCGGGAGAATATCAACGTTGCTGACAATTTCATTACACGAAAAAATCAAATCAAGAACAGAATGATTTCTTGTTGCATTAGCAACATTTTGCAAAGGTGCACAATGCAGCAAAAACGACAAAAACTTTCCGTCATGGGCGGTTTTATGCGTTGCGTTAAAATCAATATTAAAATCACCAAGAATGATCGTGTTCAACGGCGATGAACTCAAGTCATAGATAGTGTCAGCCAATTCCTCGTCATACTTCGCAGTAGAGGAAGGCGGGCGATAAACCAAAATGTTTCTCAAAGAATGATTTGAAACA